ACTATGTTCGCGACTGCGACTTCGACGCGGCAGCCTTCCTAGCGGCGGTCTCAAGGGGCCGCAGAACGAGTGAGATCAGGAGCCCCATGGCCGCTGAGCGCGCGCGCTACGCGCGCAAGGCGTGCTTCGCAACGTGCGACTGGATTTGCCCGTGCCCGCCCGAGGCCAGGCCACCTGCCAGCACCCTCACAGTGCCCGAATCCATGTGGAATGCTCCGCCTGCCGCGAGGAGAAGGAACGCGACCATCCAACGCGCGCTCACGAGCTCAGCAAGTGTAGGCTCGCGGATCCTCGTGCACTGCGTCGCCCACTTACGGGTCAACACTCACGGGCGCAAGCACAACCTGGAGGACCACGCCCAACCAGCGAGCAACGGGCTCAGCTGCCTGGAGGAGCAGACCTCGGAGCAGCAGACGACGCCGCACTACCATGGGCACCGGCCAGCTCACTCGGTGCCAGCTCATCCTCCAGCGCTGGGGCTCGGGGTAGTGGAGAGGGCAGCCGCGTTGCCAATCCGCAACTGCGAGCCAGTCCAGCAGCCAGCACAACACCGAGACGGAGAGCAACTCGAGCTACCGACGCCGCTGTAGGCAATTCAGCACCTGCAGACTGGGCTCGATTTGGTATACGTCGCGACTCGCACGAACACGAATGCGAGAGCCGCGCAGGCTACATCTCCAGTGGTGGCACGCCACCAAGGAGGAGATGACGCGAGCACTGCGCGCAGCCAACATGTCACAGGTAGTTGAGACATCATCCCCACTGCGGTTATCCACTGCCGGGAATGCCGCAAGGGGGGCCCCCGCCAGCGCGCCAGACCGTTGCCGCGCTGCGCTTTCCGACGCAATTCCATCCAGCACGTTAATTGTGACATCCGCATGCTACTGCGTTTGATCTGCTGCTCCTCGAGGTGGCGCAACGGCCAGTAGATCGAGTGCAGATGCGACTCGCGTTGCTGGCAGCAGTGGGCAGGTCATGGATCCAGCTAGTCGGATCAAGGGGGACTTTCATCGCGGGCGGTGAGGGCGGGATGACCTCCAAGTAGTTCGTAGAGGAGATGAGGAGGATATAAGCCCCAGTGCCAGCACGCTCGTTTCATGGAGCGATGCGGCGCAATGTTACGACGCGCGCTGGCAAGTTGGGGCGCGAAGGCACCATTGCCAATTTCGACCCCGTGCTGGCCCGCGCCATTTTCGCGGGCAGCAGCCTCGCCCACGTGGGCGGCGTTACGCCGTGTAACGTCGTTTTCGGCCGGCGGCCCAGCATGCTGTCACCGCTCGGCGCAGTCGAGGACGGCGAGGGCGAATGCGTCGCCGGAGCCGGGCCCGCTGCCGCTGGCGAGGTGCAACCCAACCGACTGCAGTGGTGCATCCGCGATGTCGCCTTGCAGCGCATGATTGAGGCGACTTCGACTGCTCGCTTCAATCGCGCCTCCGACACGTGCTACCGAGACCGAGAAGGGACGCGTCAACGTGAGTGACCAGGTGGAGACCCAGCGGCCTCCTAGCACGAAAGACGCGTCGGCTGGGCAGATCTTGTCATTGTGGACCTGGCCAGAAGCAAGGCCGCGGTCGCGCACCGCAGCGCCGGGGTGGTCTGCGGGCTACTCGCGCGGACCTGCGGCGCCGTCGTCGACGTCATGAGCGCCGGCATGGCAAGAGCAGGCTGGGCCTGGGATCGCATGGGCGATTCCCTCGAGCACATGGCGCCAGGCTCAGGAGCTCAGGGGCAGGGCAAGCAACTGGCCGAGCAGGCTCGGCAGCGCCTTGATGTCCTCGATGCTCGGCGCCACTTTCCCCGCAGATGTTTCTAACTACCAGACGCTTGTGCCGCGCGTCTCGTGCGAGGTCCGAAATTTGTAGGCAACTGGCCGAGCTGCAGCCGCAGCCCAGTCATCTGGCGGTCGCCTCGGGGCCCGAGCGACGCCCGCCAATTGTGCTTGGGCGGCGTCGAGTTCGAGGCCCGCAGCCTTCAGCTTGAAGAACGCTCGCATCGGCCATTTTGTCCTGGGTGGCGGACAGCTGCTGGCGTCCGACGCCGGGCGGGATCAAGGCGGGGCGACGTTCCATGACTGTCTGTGCGCCCTTGGGGGCGCCGCCAGCGTCTTCGAGGGTGGTTCACCATCAGCCCTGTCGGTAATGCCCTAAGAGGCCGACCGTGACTTCTCTTGCCGCGTACAAGAGGCGATGTTGGCAGCTTGGAAGGAGGTCGAGGGCGCCGAGGATCTGGCTCAGGAGCCGCAGGAGCTGGAGTGCCCCGACAGCCAGCAGATGGCCCGCGCGGCCGTCGAGCACCCGGCCGCCAGCATGGGCCGCAGACGACGCGAGCGGCCCCGGCGCCTGGAGACGCAGCACCATCGTCGACAGATCCACGAGCGGCATCACCACTGCCTGCGCGGCGCAACCCCAGACGTCCACGCCAATCTTGGGGCGGGGGATGAGGGGGACAGCGCGTGGAGTTATATTTGGACCCAAGTGCGCGCGAAGCATTTCTGAGCTGCCACGAGCGCAATTATGGCGCCGGCGGGCGCGCCACAGCCGCGCTTGGGGTCTTCGCCGCCGTCGAGGCCGCGGCAACGAAGCGCGACGCCAGTCTCCTAACCAAAGAGGAGGTGTCGAGGCTGACCAAGGAGGTGGCCGCTGCCATCCTCGAGGAACTCACCACCTGGGTCAAGCACAAGTGTTTCGAGAGCCGCCCTCTTAAAGGCGCTCGAAACGCCATGGGCTTCAGGCGCGTTCAAATGGAAGCACTGGAATGGTCGGGCGAGAAATCTGACGGGGTCACCCGTTGCCGCGCGGCGCTGGGGTCTTCCGCGACATGGGCGCCGGGGCCCTGGAGACGTTTGCCAGGGCGGCGAAAGCGGTGTCTCAAAGCATTCTGTCTCCGGAGGCAGCCCGTCGCCAAGACAGGGCGCGCGTCGCCGTGGACGCCCAGAAGGCGCTCCTGTGGGGCATGGCCTTTGCCGCTTTGCCGAGATGCAGGAGCAGGGCGAAGCGCCGAGGGGGGTAGATTTCACCCTGCCGCCCAGCAGCGCGGCCGTCCTCGGGCAGGTCCCGGGCTGCGAGTCCTTCGACGAGCGGACCGAGTGCCTGGGTTGCATCAAGCCGGGCACGGGCTGCGGGGGCGCGCCTCGGTCGCGCGCTCAGAGGAGAGCCGAGGCGGCGCGGCCCAGAGTTCGAGGTCATGCACGAGGCGTCCTGCGCCCGCGGCGCCGGCGCCCCAGAGGTAGCACGCATGCTGTCCAAGCGCGTTGACGATATCCAGACGGCTGGACGCAAGGAGCACGTCAACCGCCTCATCGGCCACATCGAGAGCGTTTTCGGGAAAATAAAACGGGATTACGACGACTTCACCAAGCGCGGTGCCCACCAGCACCACAGCGCCGACGGCGGCGCGATGCTCAACCGGGGCGAGTGCATCGACGAGCTGATCCCGATCGGGCGCGTCGACCTGGTCAAATCGAAGGCCGACGAGCCAGCTGAGGGCCCACTCCCGGACCACCTTGTCTGCCTCTTCGGAGCAGCCGCCGAATTTGATTTCCGCGCATTGCCACGTTGCCGCATACATCGTCGCGTTGCAGCGGGCCGAAAACAGGGCCATCATGCAGGTCGACGCCGTCGATCATGCAGGTCAACGCCGTCGATCTGGCCCCGCGGAAGGTCAATGCGCGCATCGTCTACCCGGCGATGGAGTGCGCGTCCCAGCTGGGCGCGCACAGCGACGGCTCCTTCAAGGGCGAGGAGGAGACAGGGCGCGGCATGAGAGGCGCAGTATACATGCGTCTGGGCAAATGTCGCAGTATTGGTAAACAGACCTGCCACTAGCTGGACGCTGTGAGTCGATCGCCGTGTAGATTATCATTCGGCTCCGATCTGTTCGCGGCACGTGGAGCAGCAGACTGACCACTGGCGCGCCTCCTCGCGCTCCGCGAGACGCCGCGAGGACCCGCCTCAGCAGGCGAGATCAGGAGGCTGAGGGAGGAGGGGGGGGTCCACCGTGCAGGCCGACCTGGTCGCAGACGGCATGTCCGTCTGGCGCCCGCCATCAGAGAACAGCATGGCAGGCCACCGGCGGCGGCTAGCGGACCAGCGCCGCGCCAAACAGCTACCCGTCATGCTGCGGCGCGACGCCCGCGACATGCGAGCGCAGTCCATGACAAAAGGGACCATCGGCAGAGATCTTATCCTCGACGCCATGGAGGGCTAGCTCGTCTACGTCCTCCCCACAGTGACGCTAAGCGAACAGTGCAAGACGAGGGCCGTACCAAGATCCAGCTACAGCGAAACCGCCAACGATAAGGACGATGGGTGACCAGATTTCGGGCGCAGGCGAACAGTGTCTGCAAAATGCGGCATTGTGAGCCACATTGATGGGAAACTGCTCTCTCGAACTGCGTTCGAGAAACAGCGGGTGAGTTGAGGGGCCGCTTGCACTGTCAGTCTTCTGCTGCTGTTGTTGGAGGGGTTGGCGGGCCGACTTCGGGGGTAATTCCACCCCTGCCACGGGCGACGTGAAACAAGTTTATGGCGGCTGGTACCGTGGGGGCCGATGTGCCTTGGGGCGGAGTGAAGACCGCCAACTACGGGATCTACCCAAACCGGTTAATCTACCTTGTCAGGCACAGCATATTTTATCATGAACATGGTTAGTATAAAAAGGTTTCCTGACACTGGAACTGTTTAGTCCGTTCGTCGTGTCTTGTTGGTGGTCTGGACGGCTTGCGTCTTGGCCACCAGCGAGGCACAACGGATTCGTTTAAGCACCAGATTCAAACGGTAGGTTGCTAGGCAGCCGGGCAGTCTGCATGCTTGTAGCATAGTGGGGGGCAGTGTTGGGCCATGGGCGTTAGGCTCAAGCCTGGCCAGGCTCCGCGCCCGCTCTACATCGTTATACAATGTATCTTGCACACCCTGACCCTTTACACAGAAAAAACATGTATGCTGTCATTGTTTTGCATCCTATTCGCCCTCATGCTCCCCCCTCCCCCCTTCCCCGCCGAGGAGAGCGAAGCAGCAGGAGAAGGCGCTGTTCGCCAAGATGCTCGGCTGACCAGCCCCCGCGCCGCCCAGGGCGGGGTCGGTGCGCGGCCCCCTTCCGGGCCCTGCGGCCACGGGGCGGAGGCTTTCAGAGGGCCCCGCGGATTGTCGCGGCAGCAGCGTGGGGGAGGGATCGCAGTCCGAGGCGGGAATGTTCGGGCGGGTCTAGGACGAAGATAGATCCGTTCCAGAACGTTCCGGAACGCTCTCGCGTCCTGGAACGCTCAGAGAAGGCCGCGGCGCCAGAGACATTCTCCAGATCCGCGGGATCTCAGATATTCTCGATTTATGTTTACCCGAAATTATCCTCGTCCTGGCTTCGTCTTAAGTGTGTACGTGCCCGCCGCCTTGGGGATCGATCTTCGGAGACTTCGGCGGGCAGTGGACATGGACATACTCTGGCCACCCTCACCGACCGCTGGGGGCTCAGGGCTTCGTTTCCCTAGGCGGTGGATCTGGACAAATCCCCGCCTCGCAGGATCGCAGGGGCCAGGATTCGCGGGAGGTCTGCTGCTGCTTCTGGTGGTGATGATGTTGATGGGGATGAGCATGAATGATGATGGCGTGATGATAATGGTGGTGATGGTGGCGATGATGGATGGTAGTTTATGGGTTGTAGATGGTGGGTGATAGTCGTAGACGATAGTCGGTGATTTCTCGTGGTGAGGATGAAAATGATTGATGCTGCGCACGAGGAGATTGAAGAGGAGGGGGGTCGAGCAGGAATGAGGATGGGTGACGGTCCGGGGGGTTGGGGGTGGGGAAGGGGGAGGTATGATTCGGAGCGGGGTGTAGTCCCTGGCAGTTCCTCCCTCCTCCCTCCTGCTGCTGCTGCCGCCGCTCCCTCCTCGCTCCCCTTTCCTCCGTCCTTATCCCTCCTCCCTCTTCCCTCCTCCTCCTCCCCTCCTTTCCTTGACTGGACTTCTGCACTGATCACTGCAACTGCAACTCCCTGTAACTACACCTCACCAGTGCTTGCACGGGAACGCTGGTTCGTGTTGTTCAACATATGCTGCACCCCAGTGCAGTGTGCGCTTCTGGAGGCAAAACACTTGAGCGTTGACCTAAAGTTTGGCAGGCTTTACGCACGAAAGGCTTGGGATCGAGCCATTCTGCGCTGCAGCATGCCCGTTACACGTCAAAGCAATCGGGAAAGAACGAGCCTTGATTGCTTAAGCCTTCATTCCGACGAGTCCGAAGATACGAAGGTCATCCACATGTGTATTCCTTACGGGGACTTGGGGCGAACCCCTCACACGACTTCGAAGTATGGAATCGCTCACTTTCGCATCCTACACGGGTTCCCAGGTGAATCGGCACTCTCCTCCTCTTTCTTCTTCCTTCTCCCTTTTTCTTCCTCCCTCCTCCCCTCTCCGCCTTTGCTCTTTCTATATCTTTATCTCTCTCTCTCTCTCTTTCTCTCTCTCTCTCCCTCAGGCTGCTTATTCCCAGCCACTCGGACGCTGCCCGCAATCGGTGCCCACCATCACCAACGTCTCCTCCCTTCTCCTCCTCCTCCCTCCGTACCTCCCCGTCACCGTTTTCGCTCAAGATGATGACCTGGGGGGCTGTCCAGCCTCCAACCTGGGGGGCTGTCCAACCTCCAGGCCGCAGGGAGACCTCTGGACCGAGGACAGTCTTCTGACGGGCGTCGGGCGCGCGCGGGCGGCACCGCAGCAGCCATGGGGCATGGCGGCGGCGGACGCGGGGCGGGCAGCGCCTGGACGGGGGCTCCGCATGGCCAGAGGGCTCCGTGGAGGAGCGGCAGCGGCAGCCGTCCTCCACGCAGCAGCTATGTGGTGTGCGATGAGTGCAGCAGGTGGCGCTACTGCACGAACATCACCAGCAGAAACGATGCCCGCATATGTGGCGCCAGCCTCGCCCACTTCGTGTCAGAAGGCCACATCTTCAACGACGACGACGGCCGCAGCAGGCCCAACCTCCCATGGGGAGGAGCAGGAGTAAATGGTTCGCCGAGAGTCATGCGGGCGGATGGATGGCATCAAGGAGGTGCAGGAGGCAAGGGGCGTGGAGACCAACAGCAGCACACAGCTGCAGCCACAGCGTACGACAAGCTCTCCAAGGACGATCCCGTCCGCACCCACTATGAGGCGCTCTGGCCAGGACTGGTGGCATCTCAGCAACCAGCAGCTGCACCATCAGTTGGACCCAAAGCAGTGGAAGCAGCAGCCAGACGATTGGACAATATCCAGAAGCGGGCGCGAGCAGCAGGAGAAGCGGTCGAGAGCGCCAAGCAGCATCTGGCAGATAGTGAACGCAAGCTGCATGAGGCAATGGAGTCGGCCACCGCAGCAGAGGAGGAATTCGACACGCTCAAGGCCCAGTCGGCAAGCCTGAACCAGCTCCAGCAGGCGCAGCAGCACCAGCCGACAAGCCCGACCTGGCCGCCCTCCTGGAACAGTTCGAGAAGGAGCCCGACGACTTCCACAGGTGGGCAGAGCCAGAGAAAGAAGTCTGGCGCGCGGCGAAGGCGAAGAGCGAGGCCATGGCCAACAAAGTCAATGAACACGAGGCGGAGACGGCAAAGCACCTGCAGTACCTGGCGGAAGAGACGGCCAAGTACCAGGAGCAGCTGCGGCAGATCGAACAGGGCCGCCTCGAACGCCAACCAGATGCAGCAGCAGAGCAGGCAGATCGCTCGCAGGGCCCGTCAGGCAAGAAGCTCTGCCCGAGCCCAGCGCCACAGCGCGAGCCAGCAAGAGAGTCAGCAGGCTCTGGAGCAGCAGCAGCGGCCAAGCCCACCGGCGCCGCTGAGTCAGATGCTCCAGGCGAAACTGCCGAACCAGACGCAGGAGCAGGCAGCAGAGACGAAGAACGCCGAGCCCGAGTGGATGCTCACGCCCAGCAGGCAAGGGGCATGGTCGCCCGGGCCCGGCGAGCTGAGGTCTCCGTCGCAGAGGTGCAAAGCGATGAGTCCCCAGGGTAGTCGCAAGGAGGCGAGAAAGAAGAGGGCTCGCCGCCAATTCCACGTCGATTTCTTCAACATCACCACCGGGGGGCACCAGGCGCAAGGCTACCTCGGGGAGATCAACATTGCGGAGGACAGAGACATCATCGGCATGGCGGAGCACCGCCTGCGCCAGACAGCGCGCGTCAGCAAGGCAAGAGCGGCCCTGCGGAAGAGCGGGCTTCGCAGCCACTGGACCAGAGCACGCCCAGGAGAAGGAGAAGGCACCAGAGAGGGCACCCGTGCCCTCGCGCGCAGCACGCTGGACATCCAGGACAGGATTGCGGGCTACGACGAGCGCGACCAGAGGGGGGAGGGCAGCGACATCACGGTAGTGATCACCAACCTCCACAAGGTGCGCTCCGTTGTAGCCTTCATCTACCTGGAGTGCGGCACGGGCCCGGCGGACAGGAACATTGACTTGCACTGCGACCTGCGCGAGAAGATGGCAGCCCAGGGGGGGGGGGGGGCCTGGGCTGCCGCGGGCGACTTCAACATCGCGCCGTCGGGGTTCAACGACAGCTTCTGGCCCGGGGCGCTACATGCGCAGGTGGTTGCAGCAGAGAACGAGGCCCCGACGTGCTTTCCAGCTGCGGGCGCAGCGCGCTGCCTAGACTACGCGTTCATCTCGACAGGCCTCGCGCCGCACTTTGGCGAGCAGGAGCTGATCAGGACAGCGCCGTGGAAGCCGCGCAGCGGAGTCAGGCCCAAGCTGAACGGCAGACCCCGACAGCTCAGAGGGGGGGGGCCCACGAAGACCAGCGGCCATCGAACCGCCAGTCACCATCGAGAAGATGCCCAAGTCGCGCGCAGCCTGCCGCGGGGCCGCCCGTGGAGGGCAAGAAGCAATGTGAAGGCGACAGCAATCGCTTGCTGAATCAGGCTGCGAGGGCGACGAGAATGGCGCGGAGCCAGTGTCGCAGCTGCACTGCGACAAGGAGGTGCAGCACGTCGTCCACGATGAGCTCTGGCTGGCCACGGCCGCCGAAGTTCGAGCGCGGGCCTTGGGCGAGCTCGCCGCGCACTTGCAGGGCACGGTCGTGGGCGCGCTGATCGGAGACGACATGCTGCAACTAGGTCGGCGGCGTGGGCAGTTCGCGGACGCGCTCGAGCTCAGCCTGCGCGAGAGCGCGGGCCCCCCCGCCGACGAGCGCGGCAAGCACCTTGGGCAGGGCAGGCCGCCGGATTACAAGAGCATCAGCATCCAGGACGCGGCCCCTGCCCTCGCGTGGGCAGGCGCCGAGTGGAAGGCGCGCGCGCGCGGTGGGCAGAGATCGCCTCGCTAGTGAGCCAGCTCTCGCATCGCGACGCGCGGGCTTGGGAGGAGGAAGAGGCGGCGCGCCAAACCCTCAAGCCGCAGGCCCAAACCGACGAAGGCTCAGATGGTGGATTGGGCCCGTCGGCGCCCGAGCCCAGCGCCGCCGCGTCATCGGGCCAGGCAGCCAGCGATGCCGGGGCCCCCTCGCCAGCCGTGAGCCCGTCGAAGGGCGCGGGAGAACGCTCGGCGGATCGCGCCCCCACCGAGCGGGGCCAGGGCCCCCCCGCACCGCCCCAGCAGCAGGGGCAAGCAGACAGCGGGGGAGGCGACGGCAGCGGCCCACTGTGCACATTGGCATGAACCAGGCAGCACTGGAGGAGGTTCCCCCGCCCCAGGCCGAGGCCCAGGAGCTCGCGAGCAGGCCGGAGAGAGGCTGCGACGGGCGCCGCTGCCTTTGCCCAGCACCGCCGCCAAAGGACGCGCCCTGGACCTCTGGGGCGGGGGCGCTTGTCCAAAAAAGATGCCGGCGCGCCGCCCAGGGCGCGCGGCAGTCCATGGGGGGGGCGCCGCCTCCTGCAGTTCTGAGATGGGGCAGGGCCCCCCGCCACCCAAGCGCGCCGCTGCGGGGCGCGCCCCAGACCGCGACGTGGGCCAGCCCCGCAGCTGCCCGGGAGGTGGCGCAGAGGGGATTCAGAGGGGTGCCTTTCCCCCGGCAGCAGGACGCAGCACCGTGGGCATCGAAGATCACGACCCCTTCGAAGATGAGGAGGATTGCGTCGGGTACCACTGGCAGTGGGACATCCACCAGGAAGCCGGCGGTAAAAGCCGGGCGCCGGCAGCGGGGCGAGCAGGGGCAGCAGGGCCCCAGCTCGGCGAGGGGCCAGGCCGCTGCCGGCCCCGGCGCGGCGAGGGGCAAGGC